CTTAATTTTATTTTTATTATTTATGAAAAGTCTCATTTATTTTAACAGAACAACATCTCAGTTTGTTTCTGCGTTCACCAACCAGTGTTTGTAGTTGTGTTATTTGTATTGCAAGAAATCAAAAATACAAAATATCACAAAACTGTGTGTAGTTTGGTAATATACACTCTGTCCACAGCGTAGAATCATACCTAGATGTTTATTTTCATTACGTTTTCAAATTCCAGTGAACGTAATATAAGAAGATGTTCAGTAAAAACAGGTTGTGAAATACTTAGCGAGCAGTATGTTCTAGACATATGTATTTAAAAATTGGAAGCAAAATAAAACACCATTTAACTATTATTCTAAAAAAAAGATGGAAGTTCGTAAATTATTGAAAATTCGAGGACATATATTTATTTAATGTAGTTATAACTATTTTAATAATAAAAACGTTCTTAATTAAGATGTACAAAAAAAGGTTTTGTAAAAAGTGCCATAGCGAAAACAAGCACTGTTAACAGATGAATAGCTCTACTGGCATCTACTATAATAGATCTTTTTAAACGATCGTTCACTGTTTAAGTATAGCCAGGTGAACCAACTGAATAAATTCAGAAAAACATTGAAATACTACACGTTTATAGAAAATTGTTCGTCATAAGAACAAAGCACCACATCTTACAACTTCCTGATGATTAGATCACTTCACATGATCTCTTTGTTTTAATTTACCAGGTTTATTATGAACTGAGTGATTTGTGAGTGAGTTAAAACCAGTTTGTAGAAATGACGTAATCCGTAGGGTAGACAGTATTTCAAAAAAGTTTAAATTATTCATTATGCTGTTCAACTGGTATTATCAGAAATATTCTATGTTTAATATTTGTAAGCACGATCAAAAATTAATTACTTTTCTACGTTAGTATTGTGACCTGACTGTCTGGTATGAAATGCTGTTTTCATCAGACTTTGTATTGTTGTTTTCTGTGTATTTTTCTTTGACCAAACTATAAACATTACAGACTGAAGTATACAACTGTTTATTCACTTACAGTTTATTGATTGTAAAACTATTCTATGGGCTATCTAGTATTCTACTTTACAAAATATAAACTACACCAGATATAACAAGTTTCTGTAAACATTACTTATAAAATACATAATCCAAGATGATAAGTCTCTTGTAAATTCCTGGTCTGATTATCTGCATGTAAAGAGAAAATAATTAAAGTGTAAACACAGTTATTAATACAAATACGAAATGCTTATAACGTACCATACAACACAGTATATACATTATTACAGCTTACACAAGTTTTTAATATCCACAACTGTTCTTATTTACAAGATACCATAACCAAGGTAACAAGAATATTAATTGTTGGAATAATCAAACAGAACATAATTGTTAAAACACATCAATAAATTCAACTATTATTAACAGAGATGCTGGTCGACACATGTGTGTTCAATCGTACAAATCTCTATTGTCAACAGAAGAGGATACACATTGTTAAATATTGATGTAACTTATTAATAACTGTTGGTCATATAATAAACGTGATTGTATCGTTATTGTTTTGGCTGTGATATCCTGAATATCACAACCAGACATTTATCATATTACGTAACTTAAAGTACGTAAGTACTAAAGTTACTTAAAGTACTTAAGTTACGTTACTTAGAGTAGCTAATTCTAAACTACTGTAACGTTACGTTGATAATATTCTATTAAACTATCTATTAATCTTATTGGAGCATGTATTTGTTATGGCAGAAAAGGGAGGGGCACATGACCTCTAGAAACATTCCAGAAAATAGTAGAATCATATATATGATGATCGACGTTCTCTTTCCACACTAGTAAAAATAGGACAGAACAATTAATGTTCTAAGTATAGTAGAATCACATATATGATTATCGACGTTCTCTATCCACACTAATAAAAGTAAAACAAAACAGCTAATGTTAAACTTGTTGACACAGCTCCTCCACCCAGAATTACTCTGTTATGGCGGCTGAGTTTCGGTAAATAAATAATAAAACCAGTTACTTTTAAACAAACTAATATTAATGTGATGCAGAGTTGTTGTTTTTTAACAATGTAGTTTATATCATTTAATGTTTCTACAGCCTTACCTTAAACTATTGACGTTTATAGTTTTACTTTAGCCCTAATATCTTCCATAGTCACGATATCCTCCACCATATACTACATAATATTTTCTATTTCCTCCACTATTGTACTGACCTTCAAATTCAGGAAGAATGAAATAGCCCAACAACAACCAGACGACAAGAACTACAACAAGTGTCGTTTTCATACTTCACCGCAAATAACCGACCTTTTCATCATATAATAATAAAGTAAACAGACTGAGTAACTAAGATACTACAGTGATGAACACAAAGTGACAACAAATCCGGTTTTTACTTTAACAGATATGTCAGATAGATACACTTGTACTTTAAAACTAGACAAAATTATCCGTTTGTTTACAATCTTTAGTTCGTATCTACGTTTCTTTAATCACTTTAACCAGATACGTAGAAGATATTTCTGACAAGAAACTTAAAGATAATCAACAACCTGAATATTACTGACGTTTCCTTAAACTAATCTTCTATGTGATAATGGATTAAGTTTACGTAAAATATCTTGTGGTATAACTTTCGTAATAAGTGTAAAATAACTTACCTTTTGGTTGATGTTCTCTTGATTTCCGAGGGGGAAGTTTTCAGCTATGTACAAAGTCGTTTATTTTATATTTATATGTAACAATGAGATCTGATTACGAAACGGTTTGGGTGGGATTCAGTAGATCTCAAGGATACTTCTAAC